ATTGTTTTGCCCTTCTTTGGGATAATAAGGAAGCTCTGTTCAACTTGAAACCATGGTTGGAGGAGGAGGTGCGCAGAAGTTAACTACGAATGATGCGCTTGCGTACCTTAAAGCCGTCAAGGATAAATTCCAGGATAGACGTGAAAAATATGACGAGTTTCTTGAGGTCATGAAGAATTTTAAAGCTCAGAGGTATAGTTTTTTTCCTCCTTGTTATGTTTGGTTTTGGTCTCGGTCCGGATGATACTCCATGGTTTCTGAGAACTGATTCTGTTTGTATTTTTTTGTTATTGTAGAGTTGATACAGCTGGTGTCATAACAAAGGTAAAGGAACTCTTCAAAGGGCACCAAGAGTTGATTTTGGGTTTCAATACCTTTTTGCCAAAGGGTTTTGAAATCACACTCCAACCCGAGGATGGGCAACCTCCACAGAAGAAACGCGTTGAGTTCGAGGAAGCAATTAGTTTTGTTAACAAGATTAAGGTAGATACATTTTATGTGCTAATCTGTTCCAAGGAAAGTATTGCTTTTTCCCTTCCTACTTTCTAAAATATTCATTTATTTGCAGGCAAGATTTCAGGGCGATGATCGTGTATACAAATCGTTTTTAGACATCTTAAACATGTACAGAAAGGATAGCAAGTCCATCACTGAGGTCTACCAAGAGGTAGGCTCATTGTTACTATGTGTATCATTATTTCCTACTTCGTTGCTGTTCTTTACTCAGTTTTACACGCCTATCTCAGGTTGCCATCCTATTTCGAGAACATACTGATTTGATTGTGGAGTTTACTCACTTTCTGCCTGATACTTCTGCGACGGCCTCTATTCATTCTGTTAAAACTCCAGTTCGTGACAGAGGGATAATGCATCAAATGAACTCTGATAAGGTTCTTCTCAGACTTTGTTTTATCGTAGAAATACAAAGGCTCTTTATGTTTACTCTGTTATCATTTGTTTGGGCATTGTTGCAGAAGGACCGGATCATTAGTGCAGAGCATACTGACATAGAGCGTGAGAGACCTTTGATGAGAGAGAATAAAGAACATATGAGGGTTAGTGACAAGAAAAATGAGCATAAGGATGCAAGATATTTCAAACCTGATAGCCAAAAAGAACAGTTTCTCAACAAGAAGCAGAAACTACAAATTAGAGGCGATGATTCGGCTGATATTTCCAATCAAGTCAGGGAAGGAGACAAATTTTCTGGAGCAGTTCCTAGTTCATCTACTTATGGTGAAAAAGGTGCCGTGAAAAGTGAGTTCTCGGTTTTTTCTTCTTCTAATCCTATAGTTCTACTAGCAGCTGTATGACAATGACGAGGACTGAGTTTGTTCGCTATTCCATGTGTGCTTGAATTGTCTTATGTGATAACAGGGTATAATCAAGAGATAGCTTTTGTTGATAAAGTTAAGGAAAAGCTTAATACCTCGGAGTACCAGGAGTTTTTACGTTGTCTTAATCTCTTTTCAAAAGAAATAATCAGCCAACCAGAATTGCAGTCTTTGGTATGCATTTAAAACATGCTAAAATCTTCTCTGTGGCATTCCTCTACAATGATTCATGAACATTTTGGCTTGCATCAGGTAGGAGATTTAATTGGCGTATATCCAAACCTCATGGATTCCTTTAGAGACTTTTTGGTGCAATGTGAAAAGAATGGTAACCAATCCTCTTCTTACTTTCTTCAGTTTCAGGAGAAAAATCCATTCTTGACTTTTGTTTTTGCTTTTTCTTGCAGAAGGACTGCTTTCTGGTATTGTGACTAAGAGTAAGTCTAGCTATCTCTTGCAACGTTACGTAAGTCTCGTGATGAGTGGCCGAGTTTTTTTTTTTTTTCTAGATATAAGAAGTACACACTCAACTGTTATGATACTATTCCATACGCCTAGTCAAAAATCAAATCAAAAGGAAAGAAAAAGTTAAAACTAGTTCACTGGAAACTCAATGAGAATGAAACTAGAGTTAACCAACTTAAAGGCAGGATGACACAAACATAACTTGTCCTCAATGAAGATCAACCGAAGCATAAGCAAATCAAAGCATACTGTTTATAATCTTAATGACAGGTGATTATCAAACCAACTGACTGGCCATTTGATCACTAAACTAATAAATAACCCTTAAGCTTGCTGATTAGTTGGTAAACAGGTGGGCTAGTCGGTTGGTCTATCGGTTACTGAATTATATGGCAGATGAGTCCATAGTCGTCGGGTCGGCTTCTTTTTAGAACATATATATTCTGTAGCATTTATGTCTATCTTCTCTTTAGATATTTCTTTTTCTTTCAAGTGAGTGAAACAGAGACTGAAAAGAAAACAAAATTGCACCCTGAATTATGGTTGCAGAATCCTTGTGGTCTGAAGGCAAACATCCTCAAACGTCACCGGAAGATGATAGGGAGGTAGAACATAAGAGAGATGGAGGGACAAGAGACAGAGATAATGACAAGGAGAGGCTTGAAAAAGCAGCCGCAAATCAGAAATGGGCAAAGCCGATCAGTGAACTAGATCTCTCAGACTGTGAACAATGCACTCCTAGTTATCGGTTACTTCCAAAGAATGTATGTGGTTGCAGCCCGTCATGTATGGATCTGCTTTACTTCAGTTCATTAGTTGAATGTTGATATTTTGCTTTCTTCAGTACCCAATTTCTATTGCAAGCCAGAAGACAGAGCTTGGTAACCTGGTGCTCAATGATCACTGGGTGTCGGTCACATCAGGAAGTGAAGATTATTCATTTAGCCACATGCGCAAAAACCAGTATGAAGAGAGCCTCTTCCGATGCGAGGATGACAGGTTGGTTTATCAGCTTCTAGTGGTGGACAGTAACAGATAGGAAACCCTATATTATATACTTTTCATGAATAGTGGTTTCTGTTCTGGTATTGTGAGCCATGATCTTGGGTTTTCCTGAATGTATATCTATTTTCTTTAGGTTTGAGCTAGACATGCTACTAGAGTCCGTGAATTCTGCTACAAAGCACGTGGAAGAATTATTGTCAAAGGTTAAGAGTAATGATCTGAAGACCAACAGCCCTATCCATGTCGAAGATCACCTCACAGGTATATATTTAAGCTGGTGTAACAAAAAGCAGCGTGAATGTTAACCACTTGTAGCTAAGCTGTTTTTTTCTTTTATCTACCGATGGATTCCTTTGTTACTGTCCTTGTAGCTTTAAACCTAAGATGCATAGAACGGTTATATGGTGATCATGGGCTTGATGTGATGGATGTGTTAAAGAAGAACGTGTCTCTTGCTTTACCCATTATCTTAACTCGTCTGAAACAAAAGCAAGAAGAGTGGGCAATGTGTCGTTCTGATTTTAACAAAGTCTGGGCTGACATATATGCCAAGAACTATTACAAGTCACTTGATCATAGAAGTTTCTACTTCAAACAGCAGGACTCAAAGAATCTGAGCATGAAAGGTCTTTTTCATAACCCATCACACACCTTATTCTATTATGTCTGGCTATGAAATGTTTACTGAATCTGAGCATGAAAGTGTTTTCTTGCTGCAGCATTGTTGGCAGAGATAAAAGAGATTACTGAAAAGAAGGGAAAGGAGGATGATTCACTTCTTGCTTTTGCAGCCGGAAATAGACATTATGTTTCCCCTGATTTGGAGTTCGATTATCCGGATCCTGACCTTCATGAAGATCTTTACCAGCTGATCAAGTATTCGTGTGCAGAAATGTGCTCTACCGAACAGTTAGATAAGGTAATGACTATTTGGACAACCTTCTTGGAACAAATATTTGGTTTTCCTTCACGTCCCCAGGCTACTATAGACCGAGAAGACGTTGTCAAGTCCTCGAGCCAGGATGTAAAAAGTGGTAGTGCAAATATTGATGAGGGTGAGGGAAGTCCTCACAATTGTGCTAGTGTTGCCGACTCTAAGCGCTCGAAGGCATCTCGAAAAATTAATGAACGTAATCAGGTGGGACAAAGTAGTACTTCGGGTAGGGATGGCATTACTGGGAGGACCCCAGACGCCTTGTGTGACACTGCTGATCTTGAGAAAATGCAGAAGAATGTAGCTACGCCTAATGAAAGGCCTGAAAGTAAACAAGCTATTTCTATTGAGCGTGTACACAATTCGACTGCACTCTCTGTGGATGGATTATTAGACCAAAGTAATGGAGAAAGTAGCATAGTACACATGGCAGGTAACATTTAAAATCTTGCTTTTGTTTAGGTTATCTTGGAATTTTTCATTCTCTTCGTCCAATTGATCAATATTTTCTGTTTTACTCGTCAGGGCTGTGCAATAATAGTCTGAAGCCTAGTGGTGTGACCAGTGGAACAGAGTTGGAGTTGAAGATAACTGATGGAAATGGGCCAAAACTAGAGGTATAGTGTCGGTGAAGCACTTTTGGCTCCATCATCTTATAGATGTTGATCTGAAACTTTCTAAGTAGATGATTCCATTTAAAATTTTGACCGGATTTTGTTGATTCAGAACAATATCCCTCATTGTTTACATTGACCTTAGGTCTTTCTTAGGAAGCTTAGTTAGGTTTAAAATTCTAAGATAACACCCTTAGTCCTGTGTTCACCGATAGGTGGTACTGATATACTATTTGTCCACAGGTTGGTAACAAGAAAGTATTGACAAATGGGATCTCGGGAGATATAACAAGTAATCAAGAGATGGCGGGGACATCCAAAGTTGAAAGAGAAGAAGGTGAACTTTCTCCTAATGGAGACTTTGAGGAAGATAATTTTGCAGTTTATGCAGAAAGTGGTTTGGAGGCCATCAGCAAAGCGATTGATAATGCTGGAAATAAGTTAGACCAAGAAAAGGAACCGTGTTGTCTGGAGACAGTGGCTGAGAATGATGGTGAAGGTGATGAAAGTGCCGCAAGATCATCAGAGGACAGCAGAAATGCATATGAGAATGGTGATGTTTCTGGAACAGAGTCTGGTGGTGGTGAAGATCAGGAGGATGATTTGGATCACAATAACAAGGGAGATAGCGAAGGCGAGGCTGAAGATATGGCTGATGCACATGATGCCGAAGAAGATGGGTCTGCCTTACCCTTTTCAGCACGATTCTTGCTGAATGTAAAGCCCTTAGCAAAATATGTTCCTTCAGATTTAGCTTTGCACGACAAGGACAAAGAGTCTCTGAAAAACCCCCAAGTCTTCTATGGGAATGATTCGTTTTACGTGCTTTTCAGGCTTCACCGGGTAAGAAAGATCATAAACAAGTTGAAAAACATCAGTTTATCTAAAGTACAGAGAGTTTTCACCAGCTAACTTTGCACAGCTACTCATGACAGATGTTGTACGAGAGAATACTATCAGCAAAAGTTAACTCATCATCCCCGGAAGGGAAGTGGAAGACCTCAAATACCAAAAATCCTACCGATTCCTATTCCAGGTGAAGTTTACTTTCTGTAGCAGAGTTTTTTTTTCTTCTTTTTGGCATTCATCTGTGTTCCAGCTTATAATTTTCCTTAATGTGAAGCAGATTCATGGCTGCTCTCTACAACTTAGTTGATGGCACATCTGACAATCCAAAGTTTGAAGATGACTGCCGAGCTATAATCGGGACCCAGTCTTATGTTCTCTTCACATTGGATAAATTGATCCATAAATTCATCAAACATGTGGGTTTTTGGTCTTTGGCCTTTTCTCTATATATTGACCTTTATTTTTCTTTTGCTTTTTTTTACTTACCTATGCGCGGTGGTGCTTCAGCTCCAAGGAGTAGCAGCTGATGAGACGGACAACAAACTTCTTCAGCTATATGCATATGAGAAATCCAGAAAGCCTGAAAAAATTGCTGATGGTGTTTATTACGATAATGTCCGAGTGCTCCTCCCAGATGAGAATATTTATCGTATTGAATGTGTAAGCTTTTCCTCCACCATACATTACCTTACTTATCTTCTGGTAATGCACTCCTGATCAAGCTTTTTGGGCACTGAAACTTCTTCATGTGTATGCAGAAATTATCAACGCCAGCCAAACTCTCTATTCAGCTTATGTGTGACGGTCTTGGTAAGCCCGATGCGACAGCTGTATCCATGGACCCGACTTTTGCAGCTTATCTCCACAATGACTTCCTCTCCATAAAACCGAATGCAAAGGAGAATCCCAGGATCTATTTAAAGAGGTAAACTGTAGAACATGAACAAAAATGACTATTAGTTGATCTCTGAAAGCTAAATGGGTAAGCAACGTTTTTTTTGTTTCTTTTCTTCCAGGAACAAGCGTAAAATTGGTGGTGAGGATGAACAGTTATACAACACAGATGGAGTTAAGATTAAAAATGGGCTGGAGTGTAAGATAGCCTGCAGTTCTTCAAAGGTACACAATTTGTTTTATTCTCTTTCTCACGCCTACCGCTTTTGAGTTTCCATGAAATCCGACGCGTTTCTGAAATCTCTTGCAGGTCTCCTATGTATTAGAAACAGAAGACTTAATGGTACGTGTTAAAAAGAGGAGAGCTTTGAGCCACAATCAAGACTCCGTTTCCAATTGTTGTTTAATTTCACAAAGGAGGACACAAAGATACCAAAGACTTGTGACCAGCCTGTAAGATTCTGGAAGCGGATTACAAAGATTACCAAAAGCAAACTCAACTTGTTCATTCTTCTCAAAACCTAACCAACAGAGACAAAAACAAACAAAAAAGCTGCGATTTTGGTAATTCTCCATTGTTAGATAGACCCAAATTGCCTTCTCCTTGTCATGCATATTAGTTTTGGATTCTTCTTGTCTGAGCAATAGAAAAGAAACAAAGACAAAAGGAAGATTTATAGCTTGATGTTAAAGATCTTGTGTTACATGTGTAAAGCTTGGGTATTTTTCACCAACATTCGTGTAAAGTCTTGACCTAATCTAATGGTTCTCCTTTCTTCGTATCATATCATGCTATTTTCGTTAGATTGCAAATATATATATTTTCTTATTTTTGTTATTGTTGCAAATCAGCCTGTGTAGAAATGACCCATTAAAGGGTTTGACTTTTTTCACACAAGCCGCTTCTTCCCTATATAATAAACTATTCCTCACTCAACAAAAATCCGATTTTTGACTGCGGAAAAAAAAGAAGAAAGATTCTAAAGAAGAGATCGGAGATGGCTCTCTCACGACTTTCTTCGCGATCTAACAATTTCCTCAAACCGGTGGCCACCGCTTTACCGTCTTCGATTCGCCGCCATGTTTCCACGAACATATCGCCGATCACAATCGAAACCGCCGATCCTTTCACAGCGCATCTATGCGAAGCACCGTCACGCGCCGTCGAGACTTCGTCGGAGGAGATCCTCTCTTTCTTCCGTGACATGGCTCGGATGAGGAGGATGGAGATCGCCGCCGATTCACTCTACAAGGCGAAACTGATCCGTGGGTTCTGCCATTTGTACGACGGTCAGGAGGCTTTAGCTGTCGGAATGGAGGCTGCGATTACTAAGAAGGACGCGATTATTACATCGTATCGAGACCACTGTACTTTCATAGGTCGTGGTGGTGAGCTTGTTGATGCTTTCTCTGAGCTTATGGGAAGAAAAACAGGTTGCTCTAATGGTAAAGGAGGATCTATGCATTTCTATAAGAAGGATGCTTCGTTTTACGGTGGACATGGGATTGTTGGTGCTCAGATTCCGTTGGGATGTGGTTTGGCTTTTGCTCAGAAGTATTCAAAGGAAGAAGCTGTGGCTTTTACATTGTACGGTGATGGTGCTGCCAATCAGGGACAGTTGTTTGAGGCCTTGAATATTGCTGCTCTTTGGGATTTGCCTGCTATTCTTGTTTGCGAGAATAACAAGTGTGAGTTGTTGTTTTCTTTCCTTACTTTACTTTGTGTGTTCTGTTTGATGGAATTTTTAGTCTTTAATGGTTAAATTGGATGCTTTTGATGTTATAGATGGAATGGGAACGGCTACATGGAGATCGGCCAAGTCTCCGGCTTATTTCAGGCGTGGAGACTATGTTCCTGGCTTGAAGGTGAGACTGGAATGTATCTTTTTTAAGTCTTGCAATGTTTTCGCTTTTTTTTAAATGTATTGTCTACTTGGCGTGTAGCTATTACGCGTTTGGTTGAATATGGAACAAGTAGATAGTGAGGATAGCGATTTCCACATAGATTGAGTGAGAAAAGATGAGCCTTTATGTGATATTTGAATCTGTTATGCGTTTTGAAGTGATTGACCGTAATATAAGAACTACCAATG